CAGTCTTAGTTGATATAGTAGAACAAATCAACTGAACTCAAGGACGATTTGAAGAACCTAGAATATCCGGTATGCCTGGCAATTGCTCGCATATATACGATTCGTTTATGATTTGACAACGAAAAATGCTATGTTCGTATTGGAAAAAATGAAAATGTTTCACATTGGACAGAGAATTTCCGTGTAAATCTGGTGTGACTTATGGAATTGAGATCATTTCTCGATTATTTGCAGGATGTTTGGTTTGAACTGGTAAAAATTGAGAGTCAAATGAACAACAAAATTGATGACACCAAAATAATCCGGGACGGAAAGGTTACAAAGAATTCCACAATTTTAGTGACAGCACATCAGTCCCTTCTCGATCTTTGCGACATCATTTAATGTTTCCGCGATTTTCGCGACTGAAATGTCAAATCCGCGACCAATCCGCGAAATTCGCGAAATCCGCGCCTGTTGTAACAGCCCTGAAAATCAAGCTTGCTATCTGTTCTTATGTGAAATTAAATTTTAATTTCACGCAAGAACAGATAGCAAGCTTACCGGTAAATAAATATGAACAAAGATGCTAGAATGATTAGAACACAAAGTTCACTAATCCCATAGTAATTCCCATATGAACTTTAAAAAAACAGTACAGTATGCAACCAAATGAAATCAATTTTTGGGACAATGGTCTGGACCAACCGTTAGAATCGATTGAATGCGGTAGAGCAGAATCGATATTTTGAACCATACCATACCACCATCAATCAAGGTTTGTCGAAATCCTTTGTGGTTTTTTTACTTGATTTGTTTCCCATCGATCTTGTTTTCCGTACTAAGTACCAATGCTACCGACGCCAGAAAGGCAGCTCCCACACCTGAACCCTACCGATTGACCCATCAACCCATGGACCCGGGACCAACGACTTTACTTCCCAAAGGAAGGAGTGATCAGAGATTGCATGCCTCAGAAAATTCCGACGGCGCGGACTGGCCTAAGCCCTTTATTACACAGATTTATTTATTTATTCGTCAATCAATCAAATCGTAGACTACATATTAACATTAAGACTTATGTTCTATGACTTCGCAGGGTTCTGAAATATATTTTTAATTCTGTTGAGGGCATATTTAGGTCAATCATTTCACAATGATGATTATAAACAGTCATCATCTGATTTACCGGTCCAAATTTAGCGTAATTGGTCGGATGGCGATCTACTGCGAACAACTGTCGATTGCGTAATTGTCGGGAAGGTGCATACAAATTTAACCTTGACAATAGATCAGCTGAGTCAATGCGTTGCGAAATGATATTGTTTAATAAAGAAATCTTTGCGTAATCCCGACGTTCTTTCAATGTTTGAATGCTGATCAGCAAGCAACGTGCTTCATATGACGGGAGAGGAAAAGCCGTCCAACCTAACTTACGTAATGCATATAATAAAAATTGTTTTTGGATTGACTCTATTCGTTCTTCATGCTTTTTCATATAGGGTGACCAAACAACGCTACAATATTCTAAAATTGACCTCACATAAGCAACGTAAAGTGATTTAATTGTATAAGGATCTTTAAAGTGGAGACCGAAACGTTTTATAAAATTAAGCATATTGCCTGCTCTATGTATTATTGTGTTATAATGGTCCACAAATGTCAATTTAGAATCTAGAATAACACCTAAATCTCTTACATTTTCACATTTTTGAACATTTTCATTACCTAATGTAATGCAAAGATTTTGTTTGTTTAGTTTTCTACTGTACGTTATAAGATTACATTTTTTGATATTAAGTTTCAATAAACTTTTACTACACCATCTGTAAAAAACATTTATTTCATTCTGAAACACATTCATATCGTTATCGCTTCCTATTTCTAAAAATAGCTTCATGTCATCAGCGTATATAAGTACCTTGATATTTTTTAAAATAAGAGAGACGTCATTAATGTACAAAATAAAAAGAAGAGGACCTAGGTGCGATCTCTGGGGAACCCCTGACGTGACATGAATTGGCTTAGATGTTTTTTCGTTGAATCTTACAATTTGCTGGCGATCAACTAAATACGATCTAATCCAGGTGATGAGCTCCATCTCAATTCCCATTTTTTCTAATTTAAAAATCAGCATTGGGATATCAATTCTGTCAAACGCTTTACTGAAGTCTGTATATAGAGCTTCTACTTGGTTACCTCTGTCCATTGCATTTAATACAAAGTCCACAAATTCCAAAAGGTTTGTGGTGGTTGAACGGCCTTTAAAAAATCCGTGTTGTGCACTAGTTATTCTTTGTTTTATTTGAACAAAAATGTTTTTATTTATAATTGATTCGAAGAGTTTTGGAATGCACGAAATGATAGCAATCCCACGATAATTTCGAATATCGGATTTTTTACCTGATTTATATATGGGTATTAAGTAAGATTTTTTCCATACCTTCGAGAATATACCGGATTCAAGCGACATATTAAACAGCCAGAATAAAGGGGTTGTGAGTTCAGTTGCTAAGTTTTTTATAAAAGTAGGTGGGATTCCATCTGGTCCTGAACCTTTAGTGGCGTCCAAATCTCGTAGGCCATTCCAAATATCATGACGCGAAATGTTATTAACGCCAACAGTAGTTGAAAAGTCAGGAAAATAAGAAAAATATTCATAATCACGATCATTATCTGAAAATTTCGTGTATGTTTCTTGAAAAAAAGTGGCGAAAAGATTACATATATCATCAGAATTATTACCTTCCTTTTCATCCAATGTCATTTTTGATGGAAAACTGCACGATTTCATTTTAGTTTTGACGTAATTGAAGAAGTTTCTTGGACATGATTTAATTTCATTCTCAGTTTTTATGTTATACTCAGAAAGTGCCAAAGAAATTGCATCATTGAGTTGATCACAAATCCTTAAATACTTTTCGAGATTATCACGATTTTTATGTTTTCTGTATAATTTGTGAGCTTTTTGTTTACGATTTTTCAAGTTAATGATATGATTAGTGAACCAAACCGGATATTTGGAGGAATAATTGCGTCGTCTCCTTTTTAATGGAATTTCCTCGTGAATTACGTCAAACAGAATTTTATAAAAAACCTCGACGGCACATTCAACATTTACCTGATCCTTCAAAATGGTTTTCCAATTTAGTCCATTGAATTTAGTTTTAATATTATCATAATTAGCATTTTTGTAGTCGAACACATTTTCATACTCACTGTCGTTGGGGTGTTGACTCTCATGAACAAATATGGAATACTCGATTGCTGTGTGAAATGCTTCATTCTTCCATAAAGGAGAAATAGATTTACTTACACAGAAATCTTCATGTATATTCGTTAACAAGAAATCTAGGAAACAATTCTGTTGATTTCTTACATGGTTTATTTGGTTTAATCCTAAAGACGCCATTTTTTCAAAAATAAATTGTAATGTTTCGTTTTCCCCAATGACTGGGAGAAGAAAACTCTCATTATCTGAATCAGGAATAAAATCAGCATTGCGTTGATTGAAATCTCCATAAATATGAATTTTGAATTCAGGGGGAAATTGAAATACGATTTCTTCAGCTATTTGGAAAAACTTTTCATACGAGGACTTACAAGCGTAATCTGGGGGAAAATAGACTGTGGTAAAAATATGAGTTTCACCAGCTATATTTGTCTTTACCCACACATGCTCAAATTCTTTTACTTTCGATGAAACAATAAGTTCTGAAATAAATTTTGAAGAAATAGCAATAATAACTCCACCACCTGACATTCTTTGGGTTTCGAGTAAGTCACGATCATCTCTGAAAACATTGTCGTATTACTTTAGAGTGAGAGGCAATCACGATTACCACTACACCACCGGCGCCGCTGAATCCTTTGTGGTGTTAAACAGAAAGCTACTTTTCTCACTGCACACTGAATACCACAATAGCACATATAGCGAACACATGCCAGCAAGTTTAAATCATGGTCTACAGAATCCTCATAAAACCAAATTTGTTACTATAACCAAATATTACATCCCGTTTGAATTTAAGCGTACCTTAATTTTTTTTTTCCTATGTTCGGGACCTAACACCACTGCGACCAGTAATTGATCTATTGTAGTATATCCCGTGTCCTTAGTTTAGTGCATGTCGTATTACTCCATCACCATTGAGAAATGATGAAGTATTCTGTGTACCTTAACCTTCATGTTAGTATTTAAGCATTATTAACACAATAGCCTTTTTAATTGCCTTTTGGCTTTTGATGGCTGATATATGACTAATTCAAAGCTTTAAAGCCCTGTATTAAGCAGGCTTAATGCTAAGCTGACTAATTATGTATGTATGCATAATAAATATAGCATATAGCATGATAAAATTCAAGTCTGAATTTCCGCTTCCGGAGATTATTTGAATAAACTAGTTAGGGAAACTTGAGGCTATCAACAAAGGTTCTTGCATAAATTAGGAATTAAGAATACGTTTCACTGATTTTACTAACTGGGTCCAAACACAAAAATATTTCAGATACCGGCTTCTACATTCATTCTCGCTGTTCAGTTGCAGAGCAAGCAAAGATTTACGGCCGCCATTTATTGCGTAATTTATGAACGACAAACACATCTACTCTTCTAGGGCAGTCGTAAATCCTAAAGATGGAGTCGGAAAACCCACTCCAAACGGCTCATGAATTTCCAGCAGAAGTTCCAGTAATTACCCAAATTCATAACATTAACCGACTCTATGTGCCGTAATAATGTTTACAGTCAATAGACCACGTAACAAACAACATTGATCATAATCGATGTTGGTTCAAGATTTTTATTGCCTTCCATTTGTCACCCACCATTTACATAAACTAGGCATTAAATTGAGCTAGGAAACGGTTCATATGCCGTTGCCAAAACGGTCAATCATTCAAACGATAAGACCCGGTGCTGAGTATATTTACCAATCGGAACCCCGATAAGGATCGCCGATATAAAAAAAAAAAATACATGTAAACCCGTTCAGATTGGGTACATGTGTACGCGTACATACCTTGATTTTTGTTTGCCGGCTTGATGGTTACGTTGATCGACGAGAAGAAACTACTGACGTGCTCACAGCTGAGCAGTTCTTGCTGCTCGACACTTTTGGTCTCCACTCCAGTAGGTCCCAGCTCTAGCGATAGAGCAAATATGCACAGCAGGATCGCAACCCACACGGTTAACGACATCTTCTGACTGCAGGGTAATCCACGTGAGAGATGCATTTCTTCTTCTTTCTTTTTTTGATATTTAAGTGGAAGGGTGGCGAGAATTTCTGAAACGTAGTTATCACTTTTAACTTACTCACGAAATTCTCATCATACTTTTAACAACCCAGATGACGATAAATTTATGAGAATCACAATCTGTCGGTGTCTGGTCGTTTATTTTTTCACTTTTTCCCCGACAGAAACGTGCTATCAAAACAAAAAATAATCTGGTTTTATTTTTTGTTTTCTTTGCAGTAGAATAACGTAACACACGTTTGAAATTCAGCACACGCTTCTAATTTTCTCGTAAGTTGACACACTTTGCGCTATTTTCCTCGCCCAACACCCTCAAATCGTCAACCACTTGAGCGATTCCCGTTCTGGCTGTTCCGAAAGGAACCCTCACGCACACACACGGTGTGCCCACTTGAGAAGGTCGAAGCGAAAAAAAAACTGTAAACAAACCTGGACAGACACTTGACGCGTTTCTTATCGTGCGATTTGCCACAACAACAGATGCACACTCTCTTCTTATTTCTTTCTCCTTCACCCGGGGTGTATTATTTTTATTACTGGCTCCAACACACTCCCTTCTGCGTTTTCCGCTGATGCACCCACTTTTCCATCAAGTTAACACTCATCACACTCTCGCCTTCTATTTTGCTCTCCTTTCGCGAATCGTTTTTAATTTACGTACACAGCGAACGTGCAGCTGTCAGAAATTCGCGAAAATCGAACACACACCGAAGCCCGTCGTCCGTCAGAGTAAATGGCCGCTAGAACTAGCCTCAACACCCTCTCTGGCACTCCGAGCTCAGATTTTATCCATACAGAGTAACCAGCGGGCTCCGCCACATTAAACTTGTATTGCTCGATTTTGCGATCTTTGAACCGGGAGTTCTCTATCTCTAGCCAACAATACTTCTTGACCTCGTCGCGAATTGTTTGTGTTGCGAATGAGGAGGAAAATCTATCCTATCTCCTCTCTTCCGGAATGGTCCCAGACCGGGGAATGCGAGCGTCTAAATTCCAATATTCAATCCTGTCCAACACTAAATCACTCTTTCCCTTCAATGTAAGCACACGACGTCGGAAATCACTGGGTGGCTCTAAGAAAGCTCCTATCCCAAGAGGAACGAGATGCACACAGCACGCTGCTCAAACGGTACAACCAACCATAACAAATGCCCGAAATGAACTGAAGAACGAAAATCCTGAACGACGAGCGAACCTCCACTTTGCATCACGCTCTGATCAGCAGACACACGGTGTGTTTGTTGTGTGTTTTTCATTCAAGATTTGCTATTCATGATGGGAGCGAGCGAGGAAGTTCTCTTTCTACGCTCTCTAGCGGTTCATTTTCTCTCCCTCATCTGGGTGCCCTTGTGATTGGGCCGTGGACTGGAGGAAATGTCATGAATGGCTTTTAAGCACTCTCCCGCTCCCTCTCGTGTATAAAATCGCAATTCGATGTTTTCTCACCGGGTGGTTCGATGGGGGTGCAAAGCTTGTGGAAGGTATTATCATTTGAATTGTGTACACAGCAAAAAAAAATGTAATATCGATCAACGTAATTCAAGCTGATGTATGAAATAATGATGTAATAGCAAAAAGCAGCTACAATATTACATCAATGGATGTAATTTTGTTCGCAAAATCGATGTACATCGTGCAATGTGATATTACACAACCGATGGATTGACCTGGTTGCAGCAGTTTCGATGTAATATTCAACAACTTTTTTTGCTGTGTAGGTTGTGTTCCATTTGATAAAATTTAATTTTCACTTAAATTTGACACTTCGATTATAATTTAAGGTGTTCGAAAATCCCTCTCTTGTTTATCGTCCGATTTTCGAATCGGTGTTTGTCAAAATTGATTTCATGTCTGTCAGACAAAAAAAGTCTGCTGGAATTTTCATCTGTCATATTTAAGTGAAAATTCACCAAATGGAACACAGCCTTAGTTCGGGCAATAATTGACGAGTGCACGGATGGATTTTAGTTCACTCACTCGACAAAAAGTGACACAACAGCGGGGCCCTGTTTACTAAAAATGAACACATATGTGTTCATTTTTAGTAAACAGGGCCCCGCTGTTGTGTCACTTTTTGTCGAGTGAGTGAACTCAAATCCATCCGTGCACTCGTCAATGGAACAAAGTGTGTTATTTATTATTTAAGAACCTCCATTCCGAACGAATCAGACTCAGAGGTGGTAAGTGTCATTAAAATTATATGGGGAAAAACTTGTCACGAAATTTTTCATTCAGACAAGTCAGTCAAAGGAGACACGTGGTTATTCATAGATCAAGCCGAACGATCGATGAGGGCCTCAGTAAAATAATTGATCTTATCTAGCATCTAATACGGCAAAGGCAAGAAACGGTTTTGTAGACAAGTTATTTATATAAAGTCAATGAAGCGAAAAGATCATTGTGCCGGATTTAGGATCCGGGGACCCGGGACTGCCATCCTTAGGAGAGCCCCCATATTAACTGCTTTTAAAATTTGATCGTACTTTTCCTCCTACCACCTTGATATAAAAAAAAACGAAAAATATTTTAAAAATCAGAAGAAAATCAACATTTTGCCGCAAAAAATATAACTACTGTGATCCGGGGGCAAATTGATCACCGGGGCAAAATTTGTTGGTTGGTGATAGATATCACGATAAATCTTGACAGCATATCATTATGAGACTCCAATGGTAGTTTTAACGGGACAAAAAGTCAGTTTTTCTGAGTAATCTTCAGTTTTATCTAATACGATCAATAGCATTCAATATCAGTCTTTTCGTCAGTTTAATTCAATTTTGGAACATTTTGTCCAAAAGGATGGCGACTCAACTTGGAAATTGCCCGGAACTTGATAGCATCCTTAACATATTTTGTCCTCAATTTTGTCTACCTATTTTAGTCTTAATTTATTTTGAAAATTTATCTTGGTCTAGGATTTTAGAAATTTTTCATAGTTAAAGATCTAGATAATTTTTTGAAGTGGCAGAATTTTGAAATGTCTTCTATCTATGGTGTTTATTTGAAAGTTTTATTATCTCTAGAAGGTAAACGGAGTCGAGGGACTAAAATTTTGACGTATATTTATCGGGATTGAATTCTTCATGTTTTTTTCTGCATCGTTGGAATGTTTCGATAAATTCACGATGTTTAAAATTTGTCCAAGTCTGAGATCTTGAAAACTTTCCGGAGTTCCAAGATCTGAAAATAGTAACTTCTAAGGTCCTAAAACCTTGTAAAATAAATTCTTTGTCTAGGATCTTAATTATTTTTCTAAGCCCGAGACTAGCACATTTAGTAAAGATTGAGATTTTGTAAACTCTTCACATATTTTTCACAGAATCCTTTAAAAGATTTTAGGTCACTTTTCTTTTGATATATTAAAATTGTTTCCCAACCCAGGATCTGCAATTTAATTCTAATTTGGGAAGCATAAAGTATTGTTCCATCTTAGATCTTAGAAATAAAATCCTTTTGTCACAAAATGTTGAAAATGGTACAAGTACAAGTATAAATTATGAAATTATTTCCAAGTTATAGTAATAATCTATCCTCGAGATCTGGACAATTTTCTGTTGTCTTGATATCTTGTTTTTCGTTTCTACAGTATTGATAAAAAAAACGTGTTTTACACAATATTTTATAATCAGACCCAGAATCTTCATAAATTTTTTGACTGTTGTTTAGGAGCAAGTTTTCAGTGGCCAGTCTAAACATTCCATTTGCGTACCATGTATGTCAAAATCTCGTGAGAGTGATCAAATCTATATCTTGATTATGTTGATATCTTTTTTTTTTAATTGTCGATTGTGAGTCATTGTTAATTGTTTTTTTTTTAATATTTAGAAGATACTGAGAAGTACTGGAACACCGTTTGAAAAAAATTATGTAAATTTCTGCACATAAAACAAACACTAGATTTCGCGTAAATTTACGCGATATTGCGTGTAAATTTAAGCGTAATATCCCATAAATCAGCAATATTGTATGCAAGCTTGTAAACCATTTCATAAACCAACTATAGCTCAAAATTAAACGAAGGGAGATTTTACGCGATAGTTAAAATTCAGAATTATTTTCTGTGTATTAGACGCGTTTGTTGATCTTGCTATTAAGTGGAGCTGCATACAAGACAAGATCTTTGAAGGGATGGTGGCTACCTTACATACATACATACATACATACATTAGACGCGTTTGTTTGCGGACGCTAGAGTTTTCGGTTCTGATTTCGGCGTTGGTCGCGAGTTGATTCGGTCGGTGAGGGGCTGGTGCTGCGTATTCCAGATTGTGTACTGGTGAACTGAAGCCGTTGTGTAGCTTGGTGATGGGAAGTGGTCGCAGTCCTTTTTTCTGATTATATCCCTTTAGTCGGAGCAGCTAGAGTGTGTTTAGTGATTGATGGGAGTATCTGCTGCTCTGTGACGAAGGAACGGCGGAAGAGGTGTTTTTAACACCGGTTGAAGAAGTAGCGGCAACATATTCAAGGGAGCTCTTCGAAATCATCCTAATGTCATGGATTTCTTTGCAACATGTCGAGTGAGATCATTCCATTAATATATTTCTCTTAACTTTCATTCCATTATTATATATAAAATTAAATCTTGGGTATAGGAGAGTTCACCAGGGCACCCGATTGAAGGGAAATGGATGGGGAGAGTGGAAATGCCAACTCCCTGTCTTTAACATTTCGTGAAAAGAGGACAAGCTCTTCACCCCACTCATTCGGACATCCTCATGTTGGATGTCCTGTTTTTTGAGATTCTCATTTCAAGCTGAACATTAAGTCCTAAGAAACATTGACAGATTCTCTTCGTCAACTTGCTCTTTGTATCCCCACGGGCATGTAAACACATTCCCAGGTATTTTCGTACAAAGTTCGAGAAAATAAACAAATAAAGCTCTATCGCAATCTAAAACATGTATGGTGGATTTGTTTAAATATTTATCGTAAACATTATCTCCAAAATTGATTCTCTCCATCTAATTATCAGAATATACTAAGCTTAAGTTTGTTCCAAAGTAGTTAGCCTGTTGATATTTATAACTCCGTTCTTTTGGCTATATGGTGAATATTATTAAAATCACCCAGCAAACCATAAATCGTAAAAGAATGTTCAAATCAAGTCGTATATACACGCATATTAAATTAGAATTGCATATAACGGCAGCCAATATTGCATCAAGTTGTAAAAAGATTACATATAACGATTTTTTATGATTGAAATAAAACTTTTTTCCCTAGTTGCATAAATCACCGTATTTATCCACCCGAAATCATATTGCGAGAAAGTTGATGAACATTACATATAGATACACATGAAGTTATTTTATATTGCATATCTGTCTGTTTTTATTTATTTGATTGTGGAATCATTGTTCAATCTACGATTAAAAACAAATATTCGGAAAATCAGGAAAATCAGGCGGAGTATGAATACATTTGTTTTAAAAAATAAGTTGACGCGAATCCGCAAAAGTGGAACGTACAGTCGCTTGCTTCAAAAGCATAAAAAAAGGATCATCCCTCAGATTTCTCAAAATAATTCGGATAAAAATAACGATGTGGACCAACAGCATTATTCTAGTTCATCGATTTCTTCTTCTGCTTCTGTCACCTCTGAAGAATTTAATGAGGCCACGGAAGCTTTGGATAATGAAATGAATACTCACGGTATGGATGATTCGAAAGAAATTTTAGAAGATATAGTTGAAAATGAACGATACCAAGGTAAAACCAAATTTTACTAAAAGTAATTTAACGATTAAAAAAAAAACTGTACTTTCATTCTTAGGATCACTTCAATCGGAACTCCTTTTGTATCCAGCTCATGGGTACTGCCAGAACCTGAAATCGGCCGTTTTCTATAAACTGCGCAACTCCGTACATCTGAAAGATTTGTTTTTGTTTTTAGTTTATTTAAGAGGATAAAGTTTTAATTCAACTTACTGTGATTAATCGACGAGAAGAAGTAGCTGTTCGATGCGATGAGGACAGTGTAGTGGAAAACGAATGTTTATTTACATTTACCGATCACTACTGATGAAGTGCCAGAGTAGCCAGTTTTGTTATTTTGATATCATTCTTAAAGTTTATAATGTAACACATTTCCCTTTACATAAGAGTGAAGTGAATTGCAATAATCAACCAAAACTGTTTTTTATTGAAACTGAAATTTCTTATCACATAATAATCTATGAAAATGGAG